GTCCGTTGCCCTGAGGGTAGGCAACGGAAGAGAATGTGTGCTTGATGCCCCAAGCTTCAAGGAGGGCACAGAAGGGGGCCGCCTCGAACTGAGTCCCGTTGTCGGAGATGATTTGTTGGGGGACGCCAAACCTTGTGAGAATATTTTTGAGGACAAAGTGGCGGCACCGGGCCTCGGTAATGCTGGCGAGGGGTTCGGCCTCTACCCATTTGGTGAAGTAGTCGATGGCCACAATGATGTACCTATTGTTGGAGGTACCCCTCGGCAGAGGGCCTACCAAGTCGATCCCCCATCTAGAGAAGGGTATAGCGGTGCTGATGGGGGCGTAGTTGACAGCTGGTCTGCCGGGGGCCTTCTGAAAGTGTTGGCAAGCGGTGCACCTTCGGGCTAGATCAGCACAATCTCTAGCCATCGTGGGCCAGAAGTAGCCCTGAACTATGAGCCTTCGGGACATGGAGAAAGGTCCCTGGTGAGCTGAGCAAGTGCCACTGTGCACTTCCTCCATGGCGACTCCGGCCTCATCTTGATGAAGGCACCGAAGGAGGGTGCCGTTGTAAGATCTCTTGTAAAGCCTCCCGTTTTCGATGGTGTAGCTGGGAGCCCTCAGCTTTGCTAACTTGGCGCGGGCTTCGTCTTGGGGCAGTTGCCCTGTGGTGACGAAGGTGACGATGTCGGAGATCCAATCCTCCGGCCTCAAGTTAACGTTCATGACGGGGCTCGCGTGGATGCTTGAGAGGCTTAGTTCCTCAATTCTTGCAATTTTGGAGAGGTGCTCGGGGGATTCATCCGAGAGCTTGGATAGAATGTCGGCCTCAGAGTTTTGAGTCCTCGGTATTTGGGTGAGGGAATGCGCCTCAAATACCTTAAGCAACTCCTTGGCGGCCTCCCTGTATTGTTTCATCCTCCCTTCTTTGGCTTCGTACTCCCCGGAAATTTGCCCCACGACAAGCTTGGAGTCACACTTGACGTGGATCATCTTGGCCTTCAGATTTGCTGCCAGCCGAAGGCCACATAGCAGGGCTTCGTACTCGGCCTCGTTGTTGGAGACTTTGAAGGAGAAGCGGATGGCATAATATGCGCGGAAGCCCTCGGGTGTGATCAGGACTACTCCCCCTCCGCATGCTTTGGTGGCTGAAGAGCCATCGGTGTAGAGGGTCCACCATTCGTCTAGGGGTGCCGAAGGCTCCTCGTCAGTTGCTGATCTCGCGGTGCACTCCGTCACGAAGTCCGCCAGGGCTTGGCCCTTAATGGCAGGCCTCGGACGGATATCGATGTTGTACTGGCTGAGGAAGATGGCCCATTTCACCATCCGAGAGGAGCTAGTGGGACTCCTCATGAGGGCGCCGAGGGGTTGATGAGTGAGCACCTGGACTGGATGAGCTTGAAAGTAGTGGCCAAGCTTCTTGACGGTCCAAACGATCGCTAGCACTGTCTTCTCGACGGGAGAATACCTGAGTTCGGCCTCCCGGAGGGTTTTGCTGACGTAGAAGATGGCATGTTGGATGCCGTCTTCCTCTCGGATCAGTACTGAGCTGATAGCCGCAGGGCTAACACCGAGGTATAAGTATAAAGTCTCCCCCACCTTCGGTTTGGAGAGCACTGGGGGAGAAGAGAGGTATTTCTTGAGTTCGTCGAAGGCCTCCTGACACTCAGATGTCCATTGGAAACCCGCCGTCTTCCTCATGATTTGGAAGAAGGGGAGGGCCCTCTCGGCTGACTTAGAGAGGAATCGGTTGAGGGCCGCCAGGCGACCCGTCAGCCGCTGAACTTCTTTGACGTTGCGTGGAGGCTCCATGTCGACGATGGCCTGGATCTTCTCGGGGTTGGCCTCAATACCCCTTCGGCTGACCATGTAGCCTAAGAACTTCCCTCCTTGGACGCCGAAGGTGCACTTCTTCGGATTTAGCCGGAGATTGAATTTTTGCATGATGGCAAAGATTTCCCGGAGGTCGTCGGCGTGGGTGTCTGCCTTCTTGCTTTTGACGATCATGTCGTCAACGTAAGCCTCCATGGTGCGTCCTAGGACAGCTTGAAAAACCCTAGCCACCATGCGTGTGTAGGTGGCGCCTGAATTCTTGAGGCCGAAGGCCATCACAAGATAGCAGAAGATGCCTTCGGGTGTCATGAAGGCTGTTTTTTCAGCGTCTCCCTCATGCATGTAGATCTGATGATATCCGCGGAATGCATCGAGGAATGACATGATTTCACATCCCGCGGTCTCATCTACCAGTTGATCAATGTTTGGCAAGGGGAAGGGGTCCATGGGGCATGCCTTATTCAGATCCGTGTAGTCCACGCACATACGGAAGGTAGGAGGCTTTTGTGCGAGGACTACGTTCGCCAACCAAGAAGGGTATTTCACCTCCTTAATGTGTTTGATGGAGAGGAGCATGGATACCTCCTTCTTCACGAACTCCCTTCTCTCGGCCGAGAGGGGCCTTCTTCGTTGTTGTACTGGTTTGGCCGAAGGGTCCACCGCTAGGCGGTGGGTGATAACCCTTCGGTCGATTCCTGGCATATCCTCCGGCCCCCATGCAAAAACAATGGAGTAGGCGCGGAGGGCCTCGGTGATGCCAGCCTTCAGGTCTTCGGGGAGCTTGGCTCCGATCTTCAGGACTCTCTCCGGCTTGGCCGGATTGAGTATCAGGTCTTCAGTCTCCTCGGCAGGCTCAGCCCTCGGCCTACTTTCTTCCTCCTCCAAGGCCTTGGTGGTGATGGTGTCTATACGTAACTCTGTTTTACTAACCTTCTTGGTGAGCTGAAGGTAGCAGGCCCTGGAGAGTTTCTGGTTCCCCTTCAAATAGCCGATGCCGGTGGGTGTGGGGAACTTGAGGCAGAGGTGCCTCATGGAGATGACGGCCTCCAAATCCTCGAGGGCGGGCCGGCCGAGGATGATGTTGTGTGCGCAGTCGAGGTTGACGACGACGAATTCCACTTCGAGCTTGGCTCTATGGGATCCGTCGCCGAATTCAACCGTGAGGGTGATGGCTCCCTCGGCGTCTATGCTGTCCCCCGTAAATCCGGAGAGGGGGGTGTTGATGTGCCGAAGGGACCCCCTATCGAGTCCCAACTCTTGGAAAGTACTGAGATACATGACGTTGACAGAACTCCCCGTGTCAACGTAAGTCCGGTGAATGATGGCGTCATTGATTTCAGTGCGGATGACGAGGGCGTCCCTATGCGGCAGGGAGCCCGAGGGGAGGTCCGCATCTGTGAAGAAGATGGGATCCGCCCTCGGCCTTTTAGTAGGGGGCATGTGATTGACCTCCCCAATGTAGAGGGACTGTGCCCACTTCTTCCTTTGGCTCGTTGAATCGCCTCCGGTGTTGCCGCCGTTGATCATATGAATATGGCGCTTGTATTGTTGATGGGAGCCCTCTCCCTCGTCGTCGAGGCCCCCAATTTCACGTTTCTTCCCCTGTGGGTTCCCCAAGGGGATGGTGTTGGGGTTTACCCACTTGTTTGCCTTCGGCGGAGGCCCTTGATGATGAGGGGGGCCCTGGGGAGGAGGGCCCCTGATGAACTGAGACAAGTGGCCCGCCTGTATCAACCTCTCAATTGCGTTCTTCAGCTGATGGCAGTCGTCGGTTTTGTGTCCATGGTGGCGGTGGAAGCGGCAATATGGCTCATCAGGGCCGATGGCATAGATCTCGAGGGGTGTACGGGAGTCTCGCTCAACGAGCCCCCGCTCTTCTGCATGATCAAGGATGACGCTGACGGGATGCGTCAAGGGAGTGCGTGGGTGCTCAAGGAGGACGGGTTGCGCCCATGCCTTCGGATTATTCTTGTAACCGCCCCCGGTTCGGGCTTGGCCACCTCGGGGGCGATCGTTGTATTGTGCCTCTCGATTGACCGGAGGGGGAGGCCCTTCAGGCCGATTCCTGCCTTCATTTCTCTGGGAAGGATCCGTGTTGCGGCGGTCCTTCTCGATTTCCTCCGCTTCAGCATATCGGTCCCCCCGCTGAAGGGCCTTTGTATAATCGCGGGGGGGGATCAGTAATGAGGCTCCGGGAGAAGTTACCGTTGCGGAGGACGGTGTGGAAGAGGGCCATCAGTGTCCTGTCATCAGCGCCTTCGACCTCGAGGGAGGCCTGCCTCCAGCGTTCCAGGAAACTCCGAAGGGTTTCTTCCCTCTGTTGCCTCACATTCAGAAGGTGGGAGAAGTGCTTCTTTGAGCGATGCCTCCCAGCAAATTGCGTAAGGAAGCGGTGGGCAAGTTCTTGCCAAGAATCAATGCTGCCTTCGGGCAACCGGTTGAACCACTCATACGCTGGTCCCTCCAAGGTGGAGAGGAACCAACGGCATAAGTATTCATCCGAGGCCCCCATCATCATCATGCTATTTTGATAGCGGCTGTAGTGTTCTTGGGGATCCGTCTTCCCCTCATATGGCTTGATGGGTTGCCCCCGATATTTGTGGGGGATTTTGGCCGCCAACACCCTTGGGGTGAAGGGTGTTCTAGTACGGAGTTGAATGAGGGGCTCGCCTGAGCCTTCGGCAAGTTTACGTTTCATTTCCTCCACCTGTGCCCGGAGGTCAGCGTACTCCGGATCTGGCCTAGCTGTGGAAGCCGTCGGCGGTGCCTGACGATTCTCCTCAAGTTGGCGGAGGAGGGCCTCGATAATTTCGTCCTTGGGATCCTTCGGGGCAACCCCTTGGGAGTTGGCCCGGAAGGATTGCGCCTGATTGATTTGGTGCCTGGCGTCATCGGCGTGGAGGAGGGCTTTGCCTTTGCTCCGGGGGGGAGGCACGCCCTCGGCACCCGAAGCGGAGGCACCACTCTCCTGTGGCCTGCTGAACTCTTGTTTGCCGAGGCGGTCTTGGACCCCTCGGCGTCCGGGAGCTCCCCCAAGCCTCTCGAGTGCAGAGGTCCGGGGTTTCTCCTTTATCAAGGGACGTTTATCCCTGGATTGGGCCTCTTGGGAGGCGGTGTCCTGTGCCATGATGCCTTCGGCGTTCCCAATCCCCGGGGGAGGATTGTTGAACAGAGGAGGGAGCGGCGGTAATTGAGCAACATTCCCTCCAGCGTGGGGCTGAAGGGGCGCCTGAGAGGCGAGGGCTCCAGAATTGAGAGCCATGTTTTGAACAAAGGCCGCAAAGGCAGCCTGAAGATCGATGGCCGGGGCCGGAGGAGGAACTTGGTTCTCACTCCGATCCCTCCTTCGATTATCAAGGCCAATACGGGCATCGGGGGTGTTCTTCTGCAGCTGCTGACGTAGGTCAGCGGTGGCTTGCTCTAATTCGAGGATGACACCACCCTCGGGTACTAAGAGCCTGTTGGAGGCCTCAGCCCTGTTGGTTTCGCCGGGGGCCACGTAGTTCTCCTCAAGGGTTTTGGATTGGGCTCGGGTGGTCCTTCCCATTTTTGGTGAGGGTTTGTGTTTGGTAGAGGGGGAGGGTTTCTTACTTGATAGTTCAGACCTCTCAACGAGAGCACCAAATGATGGATTGTCTACCCGGGGGGTATCCTATCCGAGGGGTTATTGCGGGAACAACTAGAGAGAAGTCAGAGTAAATAGGAGGAGAGAGAGTCGATTTTATTAAATGAACTCAGCGTGTGGAGTTGAGATGTAGATTGTGTCTATTACAAGGAGAAATGGGCTGCTATTTATAGCAGCAATAAATGCGATGAGAGGACACGTGTCAGTAATCCAACGGCCGAAGGGTCACATCAGCCTAGTGGCACCGGCAGTGGTACGTCAACCGCATTGAATGCGGTTGGCGGATGCGACGTGGCATTAAATGCGGTGGTTGGCTGTCTCTAAAAGGAATCTTCGATGATTGAGCTAGTTCAGCCGTAGGCTTCTTGCGTAGCCGAGGGCTCCTTGTGCAGCCGAAGGCTTGGTTGAGCCGAGGGATTCATAGTGCCGAGGGCTCCATAGTGCCGAGGGCTCCTATTTTCTGTCAATTTCTCCCAGTAGCTTCGCACGGTCGAATATGGCGGTTCTGTGAGTTCTGGAGCCTTCGGCCAAGGTGGCCGAAGGCATCCCTGTGTGTACCGTGGCCTTCTTGACGCTTGGGCCGCCGAATCTTGGGCCTCCCGAGCTCCTTGAGCTTGTTGGGCTTGTGATAGATTAGTGGGAGTCTTTGGGCCGGGGGTTCCTGGGCCATATACTCCATCAGACCTATTTTTGTGTTATCAAACGGGCTCTAAATAAGAAAATGGAATATTTTTAAGGGACACATCGAAAAGGAAAGTTACATGCTTAAATTGAGACGGAAGAAATATTCTTACTTTATCAGTTTATCAATTCAATATCAACCACATAAACTCATTTTTCTTAATAACCATGTCACCCCTCATATTTCGATGTTAGTGGGACGGAAGTAATATTTCGATGTCCCTATTAATTATTAAGTCATGGTTTGAATAGTGCCTAGCAAGACGGTTTGTAGTTTTTCCCTAGTGTTCTTTAGGTTTTGTCCCGGTGAAGTGATTACTCTTGATGCCGGCAGAGGTAAGTTTGATAACCGGCTAATATTTATTAATCACTACTATCACTAATACGGCGGCGGAGCATAGCCTAGTTTAGGGGAGGTTTGGGTTGCGCGAAACTTTCTTCGTCGGCGATTTTAAAGTTTTCAGGATTGTTTTTCTCTCAACTTCAACGGGCAGACCCTAGCCAGAGGTCTTGCTTAAGGTGCGGGAGGTGGTGGTGCTATGACCAGGACAACAACGAGCAGCGGCGTAAGCACGTACGAGGGGCAACGAGGGTTGGGGAGGAGTAGGTTTGGCGAAGGTTGGAGTTCGACCAGCAATGGAAGATCAATCGAAGCAGTACTGATGGTTCGGTCTCCTCCTGAACCGCCGCCATGGTTTGAACGAGATGATAGGGTTCGAGAAATTTATTTTATTAGTTATTGTTATTTTATTGTTTGGATTCTTGCTAAAGTCTATGTTGTTATGGTTACCGGTATGATTGATAATTTAGCTTATTTTTATGTCGCTAAAAGTATACAGATGAATTAGTGATAGCGATTTGTAGTTAGCGGTTCGTGTTGTTCTTTCAGGAATGATTATTTCCATGTCTAATCGTAGGGTTTACAGTTGTAATTAGTGGATGTTAGTTGGTGTCAGGCATGATTTTTCTTTTGATTGATGTAACTATTATGAAAGTAATGATTAAATATGGGCAATATTTTCAAAAGTTCAAAAAAATCATGGTTCGAATAAGACAATATACAACGAGGAAGAAAATCAGACATTTCAACTAGGGGTGGGCATAAAAAACCGTAACCGCTTAACCGTGGTAAATAACCGAAAAACCGGAGTTTTTTTGGTTAACCGTACCGTGTTTTTAAAAGTTTGTGGTACGGTTAACCAACCGAAAGAGTAAAACGGTTCACGGTACGGTTACGGTTTTTAAATTAAATACCGCCGGTTAACCGGTAATTCAAAGTAGTTAAAATATTATTTCAAATTTATGTCACAATAAGCTTTAGCCGAAAATGTTTTCTCCATTTACGTTTAGTATATATAAATTGAAGTATCAATAGATGATTATTTAATTAATTTACTGGAATTAATACAAGCCAATGGCCATTGGCCGAGAGGAAATTGGCTGTGCGTGAAATGTGTAAAGCCTAGCAACTAACCGGCTACCTGGTCAGGTAGTGGTTATCTACAAGAATTTCTAATTGAAGTAATAATTGAAAACAAATACGGAGTATGAACTAAAATCCATACACGAAAGATTAATTCTATACGTACTAACTGATTAATAATTGAATCTATTAGTTATTAATTCCATACGTATGCCATGCTGATGCACTAAGATGGAACCCAGCCACCCAGGTCGTTAGTATCTCTTAACCTTTTCCTAAGAGGCTAAGACGGTTTTTCGGTTAACCAATTCATGGTTAACCTATATCATGGTTAATTGTTATTCGGTTAACCATCATTACGGTACGGTTAATGATGTTGTAAATACATTAACCGAAATCTCGGTTAACCGTAAATTGGTTAACCAAAGTACGGTTAACCAACCATGCCCACCCCTAATTTCAACCACACATAGAACTCGCAGGCTTTAGCAAGGCTATGTGAAATTTGGGTTGATCTCTCCATATGATTAAATGATTAAAAGTGATATCGTTAAAAGTATTAGTTAGCTTTGGAATGTCATCCACTGGAAATCCAAAAGAAGAAGAGACACATCAACCATTGATTAAATTAATTGCCTTTAGTGCATTCGACTCTAAATCGACATGATCCCAGCTGCTTCCTTTAACCGGCCAAGAGCTTCCCGGATCGACGCAGCTTCTGCTTCTTTTGGAGAGTATCCCCCGCCTTTGAATCGCCCCTATTTTGTTTATCGTAGTTTATTTCCTCGTCAACTACATATACTTGTTCCTTATCAGAATTACAGACACCAAATTGTATATAAATTTAGAAACATTTAACAAATCAATAAAGATGCACACAAACTCAAATATAAGAATACATCACACACAATGTCACAACAAATCTTATTTAGTAGGAAAAAACCGTGAAAATACGCCAAGAATCCAAGATTGGTGTCAATTACAACACTATGACTGAGTTTAAAGTCAACTAGCGCCTTACGAAGATAGAAAGTCAATGAGAGCATCACTGCCCCGTATTACAAAAGTTCATTGTGTTGTCATAGCGTATTAGAAAAAGTGTAATAAATAGGAGTGAAAATATGTAAATGTATAAAAGAGCAGATATAAAAAAGAGAAAATGTTAAAATATGAAAGATAGGATGAAAATGTAAATTAAAACTTATTGAGAGTGTTTTCTAAATACCAAAAGTACTACATCCATCTTCCAAATTCCCGATGAGGTTATTGATGATATACATGCGATGATGGCGAGATTTTAGTGGGGAGCACAAGGGGGAGAGAAAATACACTGGTTGTCTTGGGAAAAACTTTGCAAACCCAAAAGTGAAGTTGGTATGGGTTTTAGGGACCTTGCAATTTTTAATCAAGCCATATTAGCAAAGCAAGGATGGTGGCTTATGAATAAATCTAGCTCGATTGTTGCGCAAGTACTCAAACAAAGTATTTCAAAAATGATGAATTTGTGGAGGCAGCAAGGGGCTATGATCCTAGCTACACTTGGAGGAGTATTTGGGGAGAAAAATCATTACTATTGGAGGGTCTCATGTGGTGGGTAGGGAATGGGTTAAACATTAAAGTATGGGAGGATACATGGTTATCTGGGTGTCCACCAATGAAAATATCCATCTTGAACCTGAATATCCATGGAAAAGTCACATTACTGAGGTACCTTTCTGTACAATTTGTTTTGAGTCGATTGAAACACTAATTCTTATGTTTTTCCTGCAAATTTGCTAGAAAAACATGGCAAGATGAAGTCTGGGGAAAGATGTTTCAAGAGGCGCCTTTAACTTCATTTGTTGAGGTTCTTAATTGGGTGATGGAGCACATGTGGAAGGGGTTATATGGTTTTATAACCAGCTGTTGGGTGGTTTGGACATGTCGAAACAAAGCTATATTTGAACAAAGTGAACCAAAAGTGGAGCTAATTAGAGCGGGTTTCCAATGCTATGTTGAGGACTATCAAAAATATGCTACAAATGTCTATAGTGCTCCAAGCTGATTTTCGGGACTAAAGTATGAGAATGAGAGTAAAACACCCACCGAATTCATAAAAGTGAATTATGATGCAGTTATCCTTAAGGATGGTGGAATTAGATTGGGAGCTGTTATACGAGATGAACATGGTAGAGTGCTAGCAGCGAGAGTTAAAAGGATGAAGTATGCTGGGAGGCGGGTTTGGCGAAGTATACAACATGCGCATTTGGTATGAGTTTGGCAAATCAAATGGGCTTCAGAAATATTTTTTTGGAAAGTGATTCTTTGAGCTTCATCATAGCAGCAGAGATGAGGAATGCGGATCACACTGCCTTTGGAATTCTCCTCGATGATATACTCTATATTAGCTCTCAATTTGATGCTATTAAATTTTCTCATGTAAAGAGAAAAGGAAATGGAGTAGCTCACTTGATGACTAGATTATTTCCTAGTAATGGGATTGTTCAAATCTTTGTAAGAAACGTACTAGAGGGAATATTAACTCTGAGATTGACTTGATATAATAATAGAAACCTCCTTTCAAAAAGTATTACATCTATTTCATGATTTTGTCGAATTTCTTTATTGTCTAAATTTTTTGTCAATGTCCTTTCAAAATACTACCTAATTCACTTAGAGCATCTTCAATGCTATAATGTGCACGGTGCACATGTGGCATGAGTGATAGCCACGTAAATATTAGCAAATAAATTATCTCTCTCCTTATTTGAATGATTTTATACAATTTTAGTAAGTTTTTCCCTGCAATGTCAACACCAATGTCAACATCTACACGGTCTCCTTGACATTGTAGAGAAAAACTTACCAAAACTGTATAAAATCATTCAAATAAGGAGAGAAAGAATTTATTTACTAATATTTATGTGGCTATTTCTCATGTCACGTGTGCACCGTGCACATTTTACCATTAGAGCATCTCCAATGCTATAACGTGCACGGTGCACACGTGGCATGAGAGATGACCACATAAATATTAGTACATAAATTCTTTCTCTCCTTATTTAAATGATTTTATATGGTTTTGGTAAGTTTTTCTCCACAATGTCAAGGAGACCGTCTAAATGTTGACATTGTTGTTGACATTGCAGGAAAAAACTTACCAAAATTGTATAAAAACATTTAAATAAGGAGAGAGATAATTTATTTGCTAATATAATTTATGTGGCTATGACTCATGCCACATGTGCACCGTGCACATTAGAGTATTGGAGATGCTCTTAGCCAGTTTCTGTTTCTTATGAAAGAAGTAATCATATTTTGATCATATTTTAGGTAATTTGTATCGTTCTTTAATGTATTAGTTAGGATGTTTTCTTTTGGACTATTTCCAGTCCCAGACCAGATCAGACCAAACCAGACCAGACCAGACCAGATCAGATCAGACCAGACCAGACTTCCGTAGTTATAAAATACACAGAGACCATACGTTTACCAGACCAGATCAGACCGGACCATACCAGCAAATTTCAGTCCAAAAGAAAACATCCTTAATGACAACAAAAGATAATTATTATTGAGACTAATCTATTTATTTGTTACCTAGAATAGATAATCTCTGTAAAGAAAAACCAAGTGCATTGATAATGCAACAAATGAACAAAGCACAAAATATTTCCTTTTCTATTTACTCCTACATTGATTCAGTTGGCTATGCAGATAATTTTATTTGAACTCTCGCTTAAATTCTCCTAAACATTCCTTCAATTAGAGCATCTTCAATGCTATAATGTCCACGGTGCACATGTGGCATGAGTGATAGCCACATAATTATTAGCAAATAAATTATTTCTCTCCTTATTTGAATGATTTTATACAATTTTGGTAAGTTTTTCCCTGCAATGTCAACATTAGACGGTCTCCTTGACATTGTGGAGAAAAACTTACCTAAACTGTATAAAATCATTCAAATAAGGAGAGAAATAATTTATTTACTAATATTTATGTGGTCATCTATCATGCCACGTGTGCACCGTGCACATTATACCATTGAAGATGCTCTTAGAGCAGCTACCGCAATAACCATTTTCATTTCTAAAACTTAATTGTTTGATATTTAGAGTTCGATTGGTAGCAATCAAATTAATGAAATGGATTGAATCTATTGAGATTGGTGAAATTCTAGCAAAAGTGGCTAAACTGATTGAATCTACTGAATTATGAAAAATTAAATTCAAAATATATTATATTATTATGAAATAAAGAAATAATTATATGAAAACTAGCTAATGATTTTCTACATTTAATTCGGACAGAAAAGTAACCCAATTTTACTTAATTTGATTATTACACAATCCTGAAATCCAGAGTTACACACTTAGGGGGAAATGGTTGATAAATTAACCACCAAACAGGCTCTAATTTTAAAAATTATGTGAAAATAATCTTTGCCAAAACTCATAAACTTAGGGTGTTTTCTTTTGGGCCAAAATTTATTAGTCGGGTTAAGTCCGGTCTGGTCTGGTTGGGTCTGGTCTGGTACTGTAAATGTGTAGTCTTTGTGTATTTTATAATTATCCAAGTATGGTCTGATCTGTTCTGGTCTATTTAAGTCTGGTTTGGTCTGATTTGTTCAAGTCTGGTATGGTCTGGTATGGTCTAATCTGGGATTAAAACAGTTCAAAAGAAAACATCATGTGTAGTCTCCTTTTAGATTGATGCAGTAAAGATGTTTTCTTTTGGGCTGTTTTCAGTCCCAGACCAGACCAGACTTAAATAGACCAGACCAGGCCAGACAAAAACATACCAGACCAGACCAGACTTCCGTAGTTATAAAATACACAAAGACCAGACGTTTACCAGACCAGACTTAAACAGACCAAACCAGACCATACCAGCAAATTTCAGCCTAAAAGAAAACATCATAATTACTAATTAGTGAATATGTATATATGATCAAAAAAATAGTGATGATGTATATGGAAAACACATAATGCCAATGGTGATGTTATGCTTGATCATTGTTTTGGGAGGAAACGTCGACCGTTTTTTCTACTCCATATAAAACACAATCCAATTTGATGTGATACAGTACATTTTAAATCGTTCAGGATTGAGCAAAATAACATACGTAATATACGAAGTGTCTACCATGTATTTTAAAATTTTATTTGATTCTCTCTTGACTGTTCAAATTAATAATTAATTTTTACTTGCCTATTGTATTTGAAGTCCATTTACCCCATGAGTCTTGTTTGTTTATTCGAAGAAAGTAAAAATACTATTAAACACTAACGAATGTACAAAGCCGTCCAATGAATTTGAAGGCCCCGTTCCAAACGTAAAATGGAGGCCTCATGGCCCTCATATTAATATTAAGAATTAAGAAAAAAAACTCAAACGAAATACTTATACTGAAGTCAATTGAATATTCATCAAATAATGTAATAAAGATTACATTAACATTACAAGTTAATTTGCCAATATATGCTCTTTCTCATGTGAGCTTTTGTAGATTATAGTACATCAGTACATAAATTTTGGAAGCATGTTAATACTAGGAATCACTATTCCAAGACTTAGATGGAGCCCTGAATGTATACAGTATACTTTTATTTGATGAGTACGTACCAAAGTGCAAAATAGAGAGTGGTATGGTGTATATACTAAGGATAAAAAAAGTGACCTATTTAGATGCTTTATTACAAACCGTGATTGTATAACCCATGAAATGAATAATTATATTTTCAATTCTTTCTCATGGAATGACTATTATTGTACTTATAATCCTTTATGGTTTCATGGGAATCTATACTGGCAGCATACCGGATTTAAGGTTTGTTTTGCAATGCCTTTATAACACTTTTTTTAGCATACTGTTCCATGGTATTTAGTGGCTCTGCTTGGATGTATTACTTTCATTGTCTATTTACAAGTTTTAATGAAAGTTTGCTTTATTTTTATATTCCAACCACTAAGAGAGCAATGTTTATTACATACTTATTCACTCATTTTATAATAGATGTATTTCTCCCTTTAATTAATGAAATGTAACATGCTGGGGAATCTCACTGTTAGGACAAAGTTTTAACTTATTTCTATTGCATGCATTCTGAATGAGGGCAAGAAAGTGTTTTGAGTTTTTGAGACTTATTTTGGGATGGTTCTAGAGGTTCTTCTCTTATGAACGAATGATATTTTTTCATATTTTGAGACCCAAGGAAAGCAGTATGATATGATGGGTTTTTCAAGCACTAAATTTACTCCGAGGATGCTAAAAACATATTTTCTCTTGACTATTAAAAACATAATAATGAAAATTAGTGGTGATGAATCTTTCATTACTTATTCCTTTAGAATTGTTTTAACCCGTTATACCAACCAGGGGCGGACCTACCCTATATGGAGGGTAAGCATAGGCTACACCTCAAAAAGTGTGTTTAGCCTATGCGGTGGTATTAGGCAATTAAAGTTCTACCAGTGCTACAGGTTGGAGGATCAATTCACCCTGGTGCTACATGTCAGTTTTTTTAAAATGCTTCCCTTACTCTTCTTGAAATGGCTATTGTGATCATACGCTATCACTTTTGTTGTAATTTATTATGGGCCGTTTGGGATGATGCCATGATGGATTTGAGGTCCAAATGTCCAAGACCTTTAAATACCCACCCGCCCCCTAATCGGCAACTATCTCAAAAAGTAAAAACTAAAAAGCAACTGACTTCTTCTCGTTTAAGGCTTTTTAATTCTGTAAGAATAAATGATGAAATCCTTATTACCGAGTACTATTTTAACATGTCTATATTATGGGTATGTTTGGCACAACTAACTGAAAAAGATACATTTGTGAGCTTTTTAGTATCTGTTAGCTTTTAGTGACTGAAAAGATCTTAAAAAGAAAAGGTGATAGCTGTTTGGTAAAAAGCTGACTGTTTGATTTAGTTCGGTTTGGTATACAAGCTGTTAGGACTAATTAATACTAAAAGTCACGAGCTTTTCTCAGATGCTACACCCGGTAGCATCTCAAAAAAGATCTTTTAATTTTTGAAAAGTTCTTAAAAATGTCATGCCAAACATACAACTAGAGTCTTTTAAGGTCTTTTTAAAGAACAGAGAAGCTAGAAGGCAGAGACTTTTGTGTGCCAAACATGGCCTATGCCTTCAAAAAAAAAGTTTATATTATAATCTCTAATGTATCAATTTATTTAGCATCTAAACCATCAAGAATGCGTTTACTTGGACTTTTTTCGGTCCCAGATCAAACCAGATCAGATTTAAACAGATCAAGTCAGATCAAAGTTTCATAGTTATAAAATATACAGAGATCCGATATTTTTAGGGGACCAAAACCTGTCCGGACCAACAAATTTCAGCCCAAGTAAAACATCGCAGACGCAATATTAGTTTTTGCTCTTATGGACTAGAAAAGTGTCGTCAATGAAATATTAAGTATTAGAATATAATGTTTAAATTCCGTACATAAAAAGTCATGTATTTGACATCATTAATTATTCTCATGTGGTATACTACTAGTACTGTTACATACTCCCTCCGTCTCTTAAAACTTTGCCAACTTTCCTTTTTTGG